TCCAAGACAACAAGCCAGACTGGATTTTGTTTTAATCTCACAAGATTTGCTGAACCCACGCTTGATTCCGATATTCTACCAGGCTATAAAACGGACCACTCAGCTATTACCTACTCTTTTCAAATACTATTAACCAAGAAAGAGGGCGGGATATTGGAAATTTAATACGCCTTTATTGTTACAACCTGAGTATAGCTTAACTTGTTAGATCCATATTAAAGGACACAGTTGAAGAATATTCAGATATTGATGTATATGATGAAAATGCTAATGACCTTAATATAAAACTTAAGATTGATGATAGTTTATTTTTAGAAACCTTCCTTATGAATGTTAGGGGAAAATCAATTTCTTTTTCAACCTTTCTAAAAAGGAAAACCATTGATAAAACCACAGAATTAGAAACTAAAATTAAAGACTATGAAGAATCAATAAGAAAGGACTTTCAAACTATAGATGAAAATTTATTATCTGAACTTGCAAAATATAAATTTGAACTACAACAAATTAAAGAAGATGAAATAAGGGGTATACAGCTCAGAAACAGAATTTTATGGTATGAAGAGGGGGAAAAGCCAACCAAGTATTTTTGCAAACTAGAAAATAGAAATTATGTCAGCAAATCAATTAATAAGATTGTCACACGGATAACAATGATGAAATTACTGACAGCTTTTCTATCTTAAATGAAGTAAAAACATTTTACAAACAACTTTATTCTTCTGGCAGGAAATATGAGGATGAAACTTGTTTACAAGATGTTGTAACTCCCACTTTAACTGGCCATCTTAGAAACAAATTAGAAAAAGATATTGACATGGAAGAAATAACATTGGCTGTTAAACATATGAAAAATAACAAAAGCCCTGGTGTAGATGGATTTCCAATAGATTTCTTTAAATATTTTTGGAAAGACCTTAAATATTGGATCTATAGATTTATTAAAGAAATTTTTAATAAGAATCAAATGTCTTTCACAATGAAAAGAGGTGTTATTACATGTATACCCAAGCCAGATAAAAACAGAACCCTTTTAAAAAACTGGAGACCAATAACTTTATTGAATTCACTGTATAAAATAGTAAGTACTTGTATTTCTAATCGTTAAAAACAACCCTGTACTCTCTTATACATGAAAATCAGACTGGTTTTATACCTGGTAGAAATATAAGTGAAAACACAAGATTACTCTATGACATTATGTTTGAGACAAAAAGAAGAGACATCCCAGGTTTATTAATTTTGATCGATTTTGAAAAGGCTTTTGATACTGTCTCTAAAGATTTTATAAATTTGGTATTAAAAAAAGTTTGGGTTTGGTCCCCAAATTACTAGGTGGATAAATATCCTAACCTATAATACAACTTCTTGTGTTATTCAAAATGGACATCTCTCAGAATTCTTTTCAAATGAACGGGCTGTAGACAAGGGGATCCGTTATCACCATATCTTTTCCTTTTGTAGCTGAAATCCTTGGATGCATGATAAGACAAAATGAAAATATCAAAGGTATAGTAATTGATGATACAGAGTATAAATTAGGACAATATGCATATGATACTGAGTTGTTTTAGATGGTACAGAAAAATGTCTATATTCTGCTGTTGATGCAATTAATACTTTCTATAGGATGTCAGGACTAAAAATAAATATTGATAAGACTAAAGCTATCTGGATTGGATCTAAAGCAGGTTGTGGTGATAAACTATGTCAGGATTTGAATATTGAATGGCTAAAAAAATGAATTTGTTGTTCTGGGAATTATACTTAATGCTGAACTGAAGGATCTATGGATCATCAATACAAAGAAAAACTAGAGGAAATTAACAGATTATTGGCAGTGTGGAGAAAAGACATTTAACATTAATCGGCAAAATCACTGTTATCAAGACACTAGCTATGTCAAAATTAGTTCATATTTTCAGTACTTTACCAAACCCACCCCAAGATTTTGTTACCTCCCTTAATAAAATATTTTTCAAATTCATCTGGACTGACAAAACTGACAAAATTAAGAGAAGTACCTTGAAAAAGATTATATACATGGGGGTTTAAGAATGATCGACATAAAAACCTTTATTAATGCCTTGAAACTATCCACTTTGAGACTTTATTTAAGAAAATCATCAATATGTAATCCATGCAATTTTCAATTACATGATATCATGAAATTTGGTGCTAACTTCTATTATATTGCTGATATTCATAATCCATATTGGAAAGATGTTTTAAAAGCATGGAACATCTATTGTACTAACATTACCATAGAGGAAAACAACAATGATGAAATTTTAGCACAGCCATTATGGGTTAATCATAATTTTAAATACCAAAATCATTATATCAGTCATTGGGCAAATAAAGGACTATTAACCATCAAAGACATGTGTGATGAAGAAGGTTTGATGTCTTTTGAATCTTTAAAAAGTAAATATGCAATAAAGGGACAGAATTAGATCATAGATATGTTCTAAATAATATACCTGAATCATGGAAAAATACAATAACAAATCACAGGTGTATAAATAACTATGACATGAATCTTAACTCCTATCAAAAAGAATTTTATGAAATCATTACAAGGATCAAGATTATTTTATGATATATTGTTATTTAACAATAATAACCCTCATATGTGTCATAAATGGGAGAATGTGTTTGAAGATACTGACTTTGATTGGCCAATGATTTTCAAGTCTTACAGACAAGACATTAATGATGTAAAACTCTTAGAGTTCCAATATAAATTTTACATGGTATTATCTATACCAAAAGGAACTTTTAAAATGAACCTTATCCAGAGCCTTATGCAGCTTTTGTAAAGATGAAGATGAAAACTTGTGCCATGTTTACTGGGAATGTAGTGAAACTAAGAAGTTTTGGAAGGATCTTCAAATTTGGATTAACACTTATTTGATACAAAAAGTCAATTTGACAAAATATCTGGTGTATTTTGGCTCCTTAAGTAAAAACCCATTACTTAATCATATAATCATTTCAGCAAAAAGACAGATCTATGTCTCTTCTTTGAAAAACAATATTCCAAAATGCGATAACTTTATAAAGACTTTAAAAGATATTTTTTCTGTTGAAAGCTTCATTGCCAAAAGGAAGAACAAAATGAAGAAATTTGCTAATAAATGGCATCCATTATTCCCAGTATTTCAAACCTGACCTGTGTATGCAGCAACCTTCTTTTTGTAAAATCTTGATCTGTTTCCCTTTGAAAAAATTATCATTGTTTTAGTTATGTATTGACTAGTTAGTTAATGGCACTGGTGTAACTTTTGGGAACACATATTATAGGTTGGATATAAGACACAATATACAACACAATAAGCCGGATGTTTGCTAATATATAACACAACACATTGATGTGACACAAGACACAGCATGACATGTCAGAATAATTGTGGCACTATATACAACACATGTTAGATAAGACATATTTACAATGTATATCAGATAATACATTATGTACAACACGATAGATGTACAACACGATAGAGTGGTCGTGTGACACTACAATATGCTATGTCGGTGTTGCACTATATACAGTATGATATGTCAGATGGTATGTCAGATATGGCGCCAGATACAACAAAATATGTTGAATGTGACACAATATACAGCTTGATATGTCAGATGTGGTGCTATAAACAATATGATATGTTCATATATGATGCTATTTACAATTTGACATATGGGATGTAATACTATATACTTATGATATATCAGATATGACATTATATACAACTTATGATGGAAAAAACACCCCAAAAAACCCCAAAACAAAAACTACTAATAACTTAAACACTTCTAGAAAATTATGCACATATTTATACCATGCATCATAATACCCCCAATTCAGTAAGATATATTTTGTAGGATTTCCCCATGTACTATGACATCATATATATTTGTTGTAAACTCAACCTTTGTTATTGTATACATGTGTAAATGTAAGTGAAAATTGTATATATGTTGTATACGGCCTGTGGCCTATAGACAATAAAAAGACTTTGACTTGAAAAAAACAACAAAAAAAAACAAAAAAAAACACTATTCCACCACCCCCCAGATCAGCTACTCCACCACCCCACCAGCTACTCCACCAGCCCACCAGCTATTCAACCATGCTACCAGCTACTACACCACCCAACCAGCTACTCTACTACCCCACAAGCTACTCCACCACCCCACCAGCTACTCAACAACCCAAACATCCACCCCACTACCCCACCAGTTACTCCACAACCCGACAAGCTACTCCACCCCCCCACCCCACCACCCTCCATCTACTCTACCACCCCACCAGCTACACCACTACCCCACCAGCTACTCCAGCACCATACCATCTACTCCACTCCCCCACCAGCTACTCAACAACCCAAACATCTACCCCACCAGCTACTCCACAACCCGACAAGCTACTCCACCACCACCTCACCACCCCTCCATCTACTGTACCACCCCACCAGCTACACAACTACCCCACCAGCTACTCCAGCACCCTACCATCTACTCCACTACCCAACCAGCTACTCCACCAACCCACCAGCTACCTCGCAACCACAACAGCTATTCCGCCACCCCATCAGCTCTTCCATAACCCCACCACCCCACCAGCTACACCACCACCCCATCAAGTACTCCACCACCCCACCAGCTACTCCACCACCCAACCAGCTGTTCAACCAACCTACTAGCTACTCCACCACCCAACCAGCTACTCCACCACTACAGCAGCTACTCCACGACCCCGCCAGCTACTCCACCACCCCACCAGCTACTCCACCACCCCACAAGCTACTCCACCACCACCCCACCACCCCTCCATCTACTCCACCACCCCACCAGCTACACCACTACCCGACCAGCTACTCAACCAGACCACTAGCTACTCCATTACTGTGCCAGCTACTCTATCACCCAACCATCTACTCCACCACCCATCCAGCTACTGCACCACCCCGTTAGCTACTTCACTACCCCACCAGATGCACCACAACCCCAACAGCTACTCCACCACCATACCATCTACTCCACCACTACAGCAGCTACTCCACGACCCCACCAACTACTCCACCACCCTACCAGCTACTCCACCACCCCACCAGCTACTCCACCACTACAGGAGCTACTCCACGACACCGCCAGCTACTCCACCACCCCGGCAGCTACTCCACCACCCCTCCAGCTACTCCACAACCCCACAAGCTACTCCACCACCACACCACCACCCCTCCATCCACCACCCCTCCATCTACTCCACTAACCCACCAGCTACACCACTACCCCACCAGCTACTCAACCAGCTCACTAGCTACTCCACTACTGTGCCAGCTAGTCTATCACCCAACCATCTAGTCCACCACCCTACCATGTACTCCACCACCCTACCATCTACTCCACTACCCCACCAGCTACTCCACAACCCCACCAGCTATTCCACCACCCCATCAGCTATTCCACAACCCCACCACCCCACCAGCTACACCACCACCCCACCAAGTACTCCACCCCCACCAGCTACTCCACCACCCCACCAGCTACTCCACCACCTCCTACCAGCTACTCCAGTACCCCTATCAGCTATTCCAAAACCCTATCAGCTATTCCACAAGCTCCACCACAACCCCACCAGCTACTCCCACCACACCCTACACCACCAGCTACTCCTACTCCACCCTACCAACTATTCCACCACCCCACCAGCTACTTCCACCACACTTCCACCAGCTATTCAACCATATGCTACTAGCTACTACACCACCCAACCAGCTACTCTACTACTCCTACAAGCTACTTCCACCACCCCACCAGCTACTCAACAACCCAAACATCCACCCTACTACTCCCACCAGTTACTTCCACAACCTGACAGCTACTTCCATTCCCACCCTACCACCTCTCTCCATCTACTTACTACCACCCCACCAGCTACACCACTACTTCCCACCAGCTACTCCAGCACTATATACCATCTACTCTAATTCCCCCCACCAGCTACTTCCACAACCCAAACATCTACTCCCACCAGCTACTTCCACAACCTGACAAGCTACTCCACCCCCACCCCACCACCCTCCATCTACTCTACCACCCCACCAGCTACACCACTACTTCCCACCAGCTACTCCAGCACCCTACTACTATCTACTCCACTATCCAACTAGCTACTCCACCAACCCACCAGCTACTCAAGAACCACAACAGCTATTATTCCGCAACACCCCATCAGCTCTTTCTGATAACCCCACCACCCCACCAGCTACACCACCACCCCATCAAGTACTCCACCACCCCACCAGCTACTCCACCACCCAACCAGCTATTCAACCAACCTACCAGCTACTCCACCACCCAACCAGCTACTCCACCACTACAGCAGCTACTCCACGACCCCGCCAGCTACTCCACCACCCCACCAGCTACTCAACCACCCCACCAGCTACTCCAGTACCCCATCAGCTATTCCACAACCCCATCAGCTATTCCACAAGCCCACCACAACCCCACCAGCTACCCCACCACCCCACCAGCTACACCACCACCCTACCAACTATTCCACCACCCCACCAGCTACTCCACCACCCCACCAGCTACTCCATCACCCTACCAGCTACTCCACCACTCCTACTCAAGCTACTCCACTCAGCCTACTAGCTATTCAACTATATGCTACTAGCTACTCCACCACCTAACCAGCTACTCTACTACTCCTACAAGCTACTTATTCACCTCTACCACCAGCTACTCAACTAACCCAAACATCCAATTCTACTACTACTCCCACTAGTTACTTCCACAACCCGACTAGCTACTTCCACAAGCTAACCCACCACTCCTTCTACTACTTCTACCACCCCACTCAGCTACACCCTACTTTACTTCCACAAGCTACTCCAGCACTATACCATCTACTCCACTTTCTACCAGCTACTTCTAACAACCCCAAACATCTACCTCTACTAGCTACTCCACTACTACCAGCTACTAGCTACTAACAACCTAAACATTCACTCCTACTACTCCTATCAGCTACTCCACAACCTGACAAGCTACTTCCACTCACTACTCACCACCTCTCCATCTACTGTACCACCCCACCAACTACACAACTACCCCACCAGCTACTCCAGCACTCTCTACCATCTACTTTTACTACCCAACCAGCTACTTCCACCAACCCACTTAGCTACTTTCAGAACCACAATAGCTATTCCAAGCAATTCCTATCAGTTTCTTCCATAACTTCCACCACTCCCACCAGCTACACCACCACCCTATCAAGTACTTCCACCACCCCACCAGCTACTTCCACCACCCCAACCAGCTATTCAACCAGCTCTACCAGCAACTCCACCACCCAACCAGCTACTTCCACCACTACAGCAGCTACTCCACTCACCCTCAGCCAGCTACTCCACCACTCCCACCAGCTACTCCACCACCCCACAAGCTACTTCCACCACCACCCCACCACCCTCCATCTACTCCACCACCCCACCAGCTACACCACTACCCTACCAGCTACTCAACCAGACCACTAGCTACTCCATTACTGTGCCAGCTACTCTATCACCCAACCAGCTACTCCACCACCCCACCAGCTACTTCACCACCCCACCAGCCACTCCACCAACCCACCAGCTACCCCACTACCCCACCAGCTACTCCACCACCCCACCAGCTACTTCACCACCCCGCCAGCTACTCCATAAACCCACCATCTACGCCACCACCCATCCAGCTACTCCACCAACCCGCCAGCTACTCCAACACTCTGCCAGCTACTCCAACACCCAACCAGCTACTCCACTACCCCACCAGCTACTCCACAACCCCATCAGCTATTCCACAACCCCATCAGCTATTCCACAAGCCCACCACAACCCCACCAGCTACCCCACCACCCCACCAGCTACACCACCACCCTACCAACTACTCCACCACCCCACCAGCTACTCCATCACCCCACCAGCTACTCCATCACCCTACCAGCTACTCCACTACCCCACCAGCTACTCCACAACCCCATCAGCTACTCCACAACCCCATCAGCTATTCCACAAGCCCACAACAACCCCACCACCCTACCAGCTACTCCACCACCCCACCAGCTACTCCACCACCCCACCAGCTATTCAACCATCCTACCAGCTGCTCCACCACCCAACCAGCTACTCCACTACCCCACCAGCTACTCCACCACTCCACCAGCTACTCAACAACGCAAACATCTACCCCACTACCCCACCAGCTACTCCACAACCCGACAAGCTACTCCACCACCACACCACCACCCTCATCTATCTACTCTACTACACCCCTACCAGCCAGCTACTTCCAGCACCACTACCACCCACCAGCTTCTCCACCAACCCACCAGCTACTCAAGAACCACACCAGCTATTCCATAACCCCACCACCCCACCAGCTACACCACCACCCCATCAAGTACTCCACCACCCCACCAGCTACTCCACCACCCAACCAGCTATTCAACCAACCTACCATCTACTCCACCACCCTACCAGCTACTCCACCACCCCACCAGCTACTCCACCACTACAGCAGCTACTCCACCACCCCACCAGCTACTCCACCACCCAAACAGCTACTCCACAACCCCACAAGCTACTCCACCACCACCCCACCACCCCTCCATCTACTCCACCACCCCACCAGCTACACCACTACCCGACCAGCTTCTCAACCAGCCCAATAGCTACTCCATTCCTGTGCCAGCTACTCTATCACCCAACCATCTACTCCACCATCCATCCAGCTACTGCACCACCCCGTTAGCTACTCCACTACCCCACCAGCTGCTCCACAACCCCAACAGCTACTCCACCACCACCCTACCACCTACTCCACCACTACAGCAGCTACTCCACGACCCCTACAACTACTCCACCACCCTACCAGCTACTCCACCACTACAGGAGCTACTCCACGACACCGCCAGCTACTCCACCACCCCACCAGCTACTCCACAACCCCACAAGCTACTCCACCACCACACCACCACCCCTCCATCTACTCCATCACCCCTCCAGCTACAATACTACCCCACCAGCTACTCAACCAGCCCACTAGCTACACCACTAATGTGCCAGCTAGTCTATCACCCAACCATCTACTCCGACACCCATCCAGCTACTGCACCACCCCTTTAGCTACTCCACTACCCCACCAGCTGCTCCACAACCCCAACAGCTACTCCACCACCCTACCATCTACTCCACCACCCTACCATCTACTCCACCACCCTACCATCTACTCCACTACCCCACCAGCTACTCCACAACCCCACCAGCTATTCCACCACCCCATCAGCTATTCCACAACCCCACCACCCCACCAGCTACACCACCACCCCACCAAGTACTCCACCACCCCACCAGCTATTCAACCAACCTACCAGCAACTCCACCACCCTACCAGCTACTTCACCACCCTACCAGCTGCTTCACCACCCCACCAGCTACTCCACCACTACACCAGCTACTCCGCAACCCCACCAACTACTCCACCACCCCACCATCTACTCCACCACTCTGCCAGCTACTCCATCACCCCACCATCTACTCCACCACCCACCCAGCTACTCCACCACCGCATCAGCTACTCCACCACCCCACCAGCTACTCCACCACCCTACCAGTTACTCCACTACCCCACAAGCTACTCAACCACCCCAGCATCTACTCCACCACCCCACAGCTACTCCACCCCACCAGCTACTCCTGTACCCCACCATCTACTCCACCACCCTACCAGTTACTCCACCACCCCACCAGGTACTCCACCACCCCACCATCTACTCAACCATCCCAGCATCTACTTCACCACCCTACCAGCTACTCCACCACCCCACCAGCAACCCCACCACCCTACCAGCTACTCCACCATCCCAGCTGCCCCTCCACCTCACCTGCTACCCAATCGCTCTGCCTAAATCTAGAACACTTCTAAATATAGCGTACAAGTACCCCCGACTGAATGTACAGGAACAGTGTGTTACAGTTAAATCATTGTAGCACAGGGTATAATACTGCCTCAAAACAACTCAAGTGCTGGGTAGACACGCACAAGACAGATGTAGATTGAAAGAAGAAACATTACCTGAATGGTGTTACCGCGCTGCTCAAGGACTGCTTGTGGAACCATCCGTATTTATTGGATCAAACAAGGAAGATGTGACATTGAGCCTTTCTTTTGATTGGCCATCGTGTTAGACTAACTATATTTGGAACGAGGAAGTTATATTGAAACCGGATTCAAACCAGCTTTGAACAACCATACTTTGTTCTTTCTTTCTTTCCCAAGCAAAACAATCACAGAATCATCATTGTCCAATACTCACGATCTAACCCAAACGTATTGTCCATGTTAACCCTTACATAAAACAGACAAGATTGGCCATCGTGTTAGACTAACTATATTTGGAACGAGGACGTTATATTGAAACCGGATTCAAACCAGCTTTGAACAACCATACTTTGTTCTTTCTTTCTTTCCCAAGCAAAACAATCACAGAATCATCATTGTCCAATACTCACGATCTAACCCAAACGTATTGTCCATGTTAACCCTTACATAAAACAGACAAGTATCTGTTTCCAAGGAATCCGGATGTGTCGCCATAATATGACCCAAACTGCTTATAGAAACATCTGATATCTTAATGGATGAAAAAACAACAAACATTTTTAACGCTACCCCTCTCAGTAAACAATCCGAACAATCATCTCGGAACAACATTTGGTTGTCAAGAATAATTCATGTAATCATTATTTTAAATCCAGGTAACCGCCGCCATGTAGCTGGAATATTGCTGAGTGCGGCGTTAGCAACAACCAAACCAAACTAAGGTATGAAGGTGGTCTTTCTGGTCAAGAGAATATATTCAAAATGCAGGGCAAAATAAATGATACGCCTTTGTTTCAAGGTGGCTGAAATGAAGCAAAATTGTTATTCGTAGAAGATATATCTGATACTGGTAAAACATTTGTGTTTTGTTGGATGTTTCTAGCACAGTAATGTTACCATGACGTTTGTAGTCAAATCCAATTTCAGATGTGAATGAGAGAAAGACTGTATTCAATTGAACAATATCATGTTTGGGACCCATTACAACACCAACTTACGTATGACATTTTAAAAAGAAATAGAATTAATTGAATGGTTTTTTATTAAACTACTCTGACACCCCACCTCTCTGTTACCAAGTTACTCTGCTCTTTTACCACTACACTACCCAGCATGGTACTTACCATGAACCTTCAGTAACCCATGCTTGTCGTAAGAGGCGACTAACGGGATCGGCTGGTCAGGCTCGCTGGCTTGGTTGACACATATCATCGGTTCCCAATTGCGTAGATCGATACGCATGCTGTTGATCACTGGATTGTCTGGTCCAGACTCGATTATTTACAGACCGCCGCCATATAGCTGGACTATTGCTGAGTGCGGCGTAAAACTAAACTCACTCACTCACTCACTTAACTATCCGGATACGCCCTAGCCCACTTGCTTCTACAGTACAGTGCTCATGCTCCATGTGCTTCTCCTACCCAATACCAAGATTCTCGGCACTTACCACATTTTAAATGTAGAATTTCTGTTATTTGAAAATTAGGCTAAATTTCCTACAATCGCCAGTGGCTGAAGGGATGGTGTAAATCCAACTAGGGTTGATGCAGGTAGCAAATGTACTGTAAGTCCCCATGGTCCCTAGCATGGTGATCTACCTTCAGTTGCTGGTGATCTCTAGCCCGTTTTAATATGTTGCATTGTTCATAAAATTTGTTTAATTTTACATTTACATGCTAGTTTTAATTCTTTGTCTGTGATAATCTATTTTTTTACTGTCCATCGTCGACAGGTTCTTTTATGATTTGATTGCATTTATTATGAATGTGTAATTTGTTAAAGTCACGATATGGCTGAAATATTGCCGATGTGACTATAAAGCTTCACTCATTCACTCACTCAAGATTCTCGGCCTGTTGGTCGGGTACTCTGCCACCCTGGTACATTGCTACCAAGATACAAGGCTACACTGCTGTACCGCTACTCCACTATTGCGCTATCACACTACCGTGGTACTCCATTAAACAGATACCACTACCTCCCTACCCCCCACCGTGCTGCTCCTACCCTAACAAAATACTCAGCTACTCGCATACTCCCTGGGACTTCCACCCAGATACCCCGATAGTGAATACTGTTCGTGACTTCCCGAGATAAACTGACGTCGGAACATTATTCACGGTTTCTTGCACATGCCTCTTAAAAGAGCTGCATTGTCAGTTAACGTATGACATGTCTTTACAACGTAATAACAATAATATTCTTGGTAAAGGAACACATCATACACAACGGGTACAGTCGTGCGTTTGGGGATTTCCCTCATTAAGATTGAGCATTCTATGCAGCTAGTCTTGGCAAGCTGACTATAAAAGATACCTTCTCTTATTGTGTCCTTCGTGGATTTTGCGAGCTGATATCTGACAAACATTATCTGAACGTGCAGCTTCGCTGGATTGTGCGCATCAGTGGTTTACGTCACAAGGTCACCATTACATAGTTACCACAGACAGTGACAATGCTCATCACCCAAGTCTTGCCCTGCTAGATAGTGAATATCGATATCACTCACAGGTATGTTGAGAATGATAATAGGCAGTGAGGGAGTGTGAGTGAGTTACGTCTTTACGTCGCATTGGTATTATTTCAGCCCTATAGCAGGGAGACCAAATTTACACATAGATACGTCCATAATTAAAGTCACACTCAAAAGCAAGTTTGTTTATACACACTAACAACACTGTTTACAATTTGAAAGAAAGGGCTACATCATTACTATTCACAATCGAGATCACGGGCCAAAAGCCCATATTTAGACACACAGAGACACACACACACACACACTCTCTCTCTCTCTCTCTCTCACACACACACACACACACACACACACACATATATATATATATATAGTTTACGATACAGACAAGTTAATTATCAGATGACAGGTCAGATGGACTAACAGATCTTTCAGGTTTACTTCAGGTTTGCTTGACAGTGAGCCATTCATCACATAGGAGGCTCGTCCTCATCCCCGTGAAGATCCGGGTTAGAACTGGTCTTCAGTAACCCATGCCTGTCGTAAGAGGCGACTATTCATCATATCCCAATTGCGTAGATCGATTGTGTCTGCGTAATTCCCCAATGTCGGCTGTCGTCAAATTTGAAGACATTAGGGACAGGGTACAACAGTTCATGAGATATCGCGTTAACGAGAGTTTGAAAAGTGGTCAAAGTGGCGTGGTGACCTTGAAGATATGGTCAATATAAGGCAGTTATACGTTGTGCAACAATGTTGCACCTATTGTCCAGTGTACCTGTAGAGACAATGACGGCCAGTAGTAATGAGGCAGTGCTTTACGTTGTGCAACAATGTTGCACCTATTGTACAGTGTACCTGTAGAGTAAGTGACGGGCAGTGGTGTGCTGTGTTCAGACGGATATGGAGTATCTAGCAACATATTTTTGTTTATAGGAGGGGAGCAAGCTATTGCCTCCAGCGTTACCAGAAGCCCAGAAGCCCAACATTGTGTGTGATCATCATGTACCCTGGCTTACCTGAGTTGCAAGTTGTCCCCGTGAAGATCCGGATTAGAATTGATCTTCAGTAACCCATACATGTCGTAAGAGGCGAGTAACGGGATCGGGTGGTCAGGCTCGCTGACTTGGTTGACACCTGTCATCGTATCCCAACTGCGTAGATCGATGCTCTTACTGTTGATCACTGGATTGTCTGGTCCAGACTCGATTATTTACAGACCTCTGCCATATAGCAGGAGTATTTCTGAACAACAAACCATAGTTGCAGACTAGATTACTGTTACTTAGAGGTGCATATTAGCATCATTGCCCATGTAGCCTTGATCACTGGTCTTGTGTCATGCAGCCTCTGAACTTGAATGATACTCTATTTTCTTCTGCCACAGTGCTACCCTTGTATTAATGTGTATTGATTTGTAAACTTAGTTTATTGTGGAATACAATTGTTAATTCTTGCACATTTCTTTGTTGTTGGTTTCACGCATAATTCCCTGGATGCCGAGGGTTTTTTTCAGGCGCACATTTTCATAAGCTTTGAAAAGTGTACGTTGTGCGAGAATTGCCCTCGCGTGGTCCTGGATCTGCGTGCGGCTCTAAAATTACTCAGAAATGTAGAATATTAAATTTCCTATCCGTTGGTATAAATATAAGTGTAAATACATCCGCGGTTTGAGAAATGGACACTGCTAAATGTTCTCCAAAATTTTATTATGCGTTAATTTCTCCGCTTATTTATCTTGCACCGAAAAAGCACTGTGCTACGATTTTTTTAATTTGGCGTCTTTACGAAAAGTGTGAGCAAAGAAAATACAGTATGATATCTGAACGACATAAGTATATATGACACGGGATTGTGTGCTTATGCATAACGTTATACGCTCAATCTTAAAAATGACATCAACCGACGACAGAGCGGTCATACACGTATAAAGATAAGGGGGTATAACTCCGCTATGCTTAACACTAGGTCAATGTTACTCAGATCACTTGGAGAGAATTTGTTGTGAATACGAACGCCACATTTTCGTTATGTTTTGTTCACCATGAACCAAAATATTCCAATACAAAATTTCCCAGTGTGAGCGGATACGTTTTGGTAGTTTCACAATTTATAAGAAAAGATGACAACGTACTACACGAGAAAACACGTAATAGCGATTTGGATGGCCTTATCCGATATGTAAATTAATTCTTAGATTCCCATATTCTCCTGTTCGTGTAGATGCATTTTGACTATGTTTGCATCATTATTAACAGAGTACCAGCCCTATGTAAACTATTTAGTGTCAGGTTGAGAATCAACACGCAACTGAAGCAGATAACTTGTAACATATTGCTCTGGCAACGTCAGTGAGGATACATTCAAATCTGGGTTACAACTGCATTGCTGGTGTGTTGCCTACAAAGAAAAACTTTGGTTTCACACTGAACTCTTTTGAAGATGTTGAAGATCGACACATAATAACTTATACTCGATCTGAACGGAAACAATGTAAACCAATCTCAACATTGTTCCACGGCCACATTACACAGTTTGCAAGATGCCTTCCTTGTTTCAATGAGTGAGTGAGGAGTGAGTGAGTGAGTGAGTGAGTGAGTGAGTGAGTGAGTGAGTGAGTGAGTGAGTGAGTGAGTGAGTGAGTGAGTGAGTGAGTGAGTGAGTGAGTGAGTGAGTGAGTGAGTGAGTGAATCTTGATTAACGAGTTTGGTCTTCAGCATGCCATGCATATTAGAGGCAACTAACGGAATCTGGTGGTCAGACGATCGTCACAAAGAACAAACAAATATTAAGGTAACGTCATTTATTTGTTCAACTGTTCACAGTTTCTTGATCGAATCTCACCCAAATTGAATCTCTCTAATAAATTCATCAAGACAATGCTCTTCGGCATAGTTGTAAGTTACCTATGACACCCAAATCGTAAAAATATTGATATTTCTATGGACAATCAGAAATATTTTTATGGATATACAACTTCTTTATTCTATGTAAACTGTGTACTTATTTTAATGACAGCTTGTTAAACAGCTTTTCTATTTTTAGGACATAAATTCTGTAAAAATATCACAGAGTTGGTCTGTCGTTTTGATTATGATCTGTGTTTCATTGAGTATTATATGCTTAGTAGTTTTCGAGTTAGATTGCAACCCCTTACATTATTTATATTTTTCAGATATAACTATTAATACCCTAGACCAATAAATTCAACATTAAACATCCCAGGACCTTACCTCTACAGACATGTTTTTGCATGAAAATCATTGTTTATTTTTAAAATGAGCAATTATCATCATAAAATCCAATTATTTTGTCGTTTTTTATGAGTCAAAGGATCATACGAGTCGGAAAAACTGCATTGTATTTCCATCGTGGTCACCACGAGAAGTTTTATATAAGTGTTGAAAACCTGTCATTGCAAAATTATAGGGGGTGCTTAATTAAGTTCTTTGTGTGTATAAATACCCTTGCCCCTTTAGCCAAAATCGTTCCGGTTTGAGCCTGATTCAAAAGCATCGACACCAGACCAACGCCCATATAACACTATTCCCTGAAGCAATCGATATACTGTGCTAAGAGACAGATTTCGTTGGTGAAGTCACTTTCTAAATGTCTAAGGTATGACGGTAATTAGTCGAGGATATTTACCTGTTTAATTGGCATTTTAGAAGTTCATGAATAATAAGAAAAGTATATTACTTTATGGATAATAACGTCTTTATGTTATTATGATGCGACATTTCGGTATAGCTTCAAAGCTATAACGAAAGCTATATCGAAAGCTATTGTTATATCCATAAGTTGTTATCTATAAAGTATTATACTTTTCTTATGAGGATATTTACCATAATATTACTAAGGCAGAGTTGATCATGGAGGGAAAATAATGCCCCTTTCACGGTGGATACATTGTGAAACCATTAGAAAATCTTGCTGCTTTTACCTTCAAGTTTTCCTGTGTACGATATCAAACAAATAAAAACAAATCGTAGATTGTAATGAAATGAAATGGTAAATGGTTTCTGGTAAATGTTTCAGGTACATTCTGAGTAATGATGAGTAGCATGGCAATCGTTCTGTTCATCACCACGTCAAGTGTTTAAACACTTGCAGCACCCGTCAATTGCGAACCAGGACACCCCGTATTCCGTTCCGGTCATCCACACTCCAGTCACGTAAGTTGTTTTTACTGAGCACGTGCAGAAGTCGCATCCATCGGTTTGTCTGTAACAGGATGGGTCATGATTTAGTTTTGTAGAATGAGTGAGTGAGTTTTTGTTTTACGCTGCTTTTAGCAATATTCCAGCAATATCACGGCGGGGATACCAAAAATGGGCTTCACACATTGTACCCATGTGGGCAATCGAACCCGGGTCTTCGGTGTGACGAGCGAATGCTTCAACCACTAGGCTACCCCACCGCCCCTAGTTTTGTTGAAGGCATCACATGACAGTTAGAGGACATCAGATGTTATTGGAACTTCTTATGTCCATGCGTTGACATCAGAACTAATGAATTGTAAGTGGGATCATGAGCTTTTAAAGGGTGTTTAATACCTTCCTCCATTACACGTGCTACCATTGTGTGACCTGCAGTGGAGAGGCGGTGGTGTAGCCTAGTGGTTAAACCGTTTGCTCGTCACACCGAAGGCCCGGGATCGACCCCACATGGGTACAATGTGTGAAGCCCATTTCTGGTGTCCCCTGCCGTGATATTGCTGGAATATTGCTAAAAGCGGGTTAAAACCATACTCACTCACTGACATACAGTGGTGTGTAACCCTACGATTCCTAATATCCCACAATAATCACCTGTAAAGACATTCTCAATATTTCAAGGGTGTAAAATATTTCGCCAGTACTTCTCTTGTGTACACGCTACGATTCCAAATACCCCAGAATTCATCATGGAATATATCGTCCGTACTTCACGGGTGTTGAATACATCGTCCGTTATTTACGGGTTTTAATTAAATCTTCAGTATTTCACGGGTGTTGAATACATCCTCTGTACGTCACAGGTGTTGAACACGTCGTCTGTACTTTACGAGTGTTGAATACATCGTCTGTTTCTTAATGGGTGTTGAATACATCGTCACTACATCACGGGTGTTAAATACATTGTCCCTACTTTACGGGTGATAAATAAATCGTCACTACGTCACGGGTGTTTTTGCGTCTGTACTGTATGGGTGTTGAATACGTTATCCGTACACCACGGGTGTTGAATACATCGTCTGTACGGGTGTTAAAACACGTCACTACGTCATTGGTGTTGAATACATCGTCACTACGTCACGTCACTACGGTTTTGAATACATCGTCTGTACTTTTTGGGTGTTAAATATCCCATACGTACATCACGGTAGTTGAACACATCGTCAGTACGTCACGGGTGTTGAACACATCGTCTGTACTTTACGGGTGTTGAATACATCGTCCATTTCTTTACGCGTGTTAAATACATCGTCTGTACTTAACGGGTGTTGAATACATCGTCACTACGTCACGGGTGTTGAATACATAGTCTGTACATCACAGGTGTTGAATACATCGTCAGTACTTTACGGGTGTTGAATACATCGTCACTACGTCACGGGTGTTGAATACATAGTCCGTACGTCACGGGTGTTAAATACATCGTCAGTACGTTACGGGTGTTGAATACATCGTCTGTACTTCCCTTTATAGATGTTAAATATTGGAGGATATTGTCTTCACGAAGCATTAACCTGAATCCATCAGAGCGTGTTCACTGGGCTAACTTACTCAAGCGTGCTGATATTCAGACAAGAGGAACAATTTGGCCCTTCTCTTACTGTATTGTACATACTTGCATGATTCTGTACGGAAGAACTGCTTCGCTTCTACGCCTACTTCATCCTCAAAGACAGCCATTGTCCTGTTAATATTGCCTATATCCACCCAGTACTGGGGCGAGATGTAGGAGGCCTCCCTGCAAGATACATATAGGTGTTAAGATAAGGAGAGAATATACGAAAATCGTAGGAACAAATTTCAAGATAGAATTAAAATATATTTGAGTTTAGAGATAAATAATAATGTGCGTAAGAGGCAGCATTGGGCTATTTCAAAACAACAACCCCAAACAAAACAAAAAGCTCTCAAGGCACAAAATAGTATGTTTCAGTGCTCATTCAAGAAATATACTCTTTCACAAACCGAAATGTGAGGCATCCAAAAATATTTTCAGTATGGACCTCGGCTTTCATATTATCACTGTGGGAGATGATAGATGGCGTCATTTGACGGAGAGTTTCAGCTCAACGGAGACTGGACTACTGACGACGGGCAACGCTTCTTGACAAAACACCTACTGATATGATACTGTCTCCAGCCTAAACCCCCTTGCATCAGTCGACATGATCGCAAACCACGAAAGCAATATCTGCAAGATGCACCCAGATTCCATACCAGGGTTGCTATGCGACGGACAGCAACAGGAAAAGAAACAGAGGACGTCCAAAGGAGACATTGAGAATTTGAAGATCTGTGGAGGCAGAGATGAAGGACGCAGGTTGGACCTGACAGGTGCAGCAATGGGCCCAGGATAGACAGCGTTGGAAAACTCTAGTAACGGCCTTATGTGCCAAGAGCACGAAGAGGATTAAGTAAATAAGTAAGTAATGTCTGCTTGTATGGTTTTAAGTGAGTTCAACAATTGTGTGGGTTGTATGATGGTTAACAACGTATTACGAAGTATAACCCAATATATGTAATTATTAGAAATAACACGCTAAATAGGAGTAACCATTGTACTAAATAAAAGCGACAAAACCCTTTCCACACCCATACGAAATCTCTGCTAAAATCAGAATCGATTGTACAATTGTGACTATATCATGAGTATATATATGTTTTCAGCAGTATAAGAGCTGTACGATGTTGTTTGTAAGCACACCGAGTCTGGACCAGACAATCCATTGAAAAGGTTGAAAGTTTTCCTGGAACATGTACATTAATGTATTTGGTTAATGATCTGGCAGTCGGACAGAAACTAGAGTCAAAATAGTTCAAATTGAAACTTGTTTTCAGACGATGATTGTCAGTAACTAAGGATGGTATTATGATAATTTTGACAATTGGTGGCATATGGAATTCGCAAGATTTGAGGTTGCATCCTGAGATGTCAGTCAATTTGTCCTTCATAGTCAGAGGAGTTTAACCTCGTGTTTAAAATGTTCGTTAGCCAGAATGCAGGACCGGGTTCGATTTCCTTAATAGAATAACGCTGAAAGCAATATCAATTTATCAAACCACATTCACCCTATCTTCATTCCCATCAATCTGAAACAAGCACGACTTCTCTATTGAACGGTGAATTATTCTTCCAACAATTTGTAGAGATTCTCGATGGCCAACGTGGACTCAGTATCCTAAACATAAACGTGTTAGGTAATAGATTTTCCTACTTTACCACTTATACCTACACTTATACAACCCAAGGTACAATGTACAGTTTGTATCTTAAGGATTTGTCTTGTTGAGAAATCCAGTCATTCTTACACATGAATGGGGTACGTCGATGTTTCGACTGAGCGTTACACATTTAGTGTGTATGTGTGTTCTATTCAATCGTCTATCTCTTAACAATTTTCCATGAAATATCATGTGTTTGACTTTTTGAGTCAGTTGAGCGAAATATGGTGGTGTGTGGTCCTATGCATAGAGATCAGGTCACAAATCAGTTGAAGTTATAGTCCGTTTGGCTCAAAAGCGGACCTATGAATTGCAATCTAACTCGAAAACTGATAAACATGTTATACTCAGTAAAACGCAGAATTTATGTCCTGAAAATAAAAAGTCGTTTAACAAACTATCATTAACATTTTGACACAGTTCACTATTTGTTACGAGGGAGGAGTGCAAAGACTGGAACAGCCAGGTGTACGCGAAGCACCTGCACAAGTGCCGAGAAAGCTATTGATTCATTTACCTGAGCTGTACCGTATCCATCCTTTCTCGCACACCTGGCTGTGCCTCTCTCTGCATTCCTCCATCGTACCAAATAGTGAACTGTGTAAATACTTTAATGATTGTTTGTTAAACAACTTTTTGATTTTTAGGACATAAATTCTGCTTAAAACTCACAGAGTTGGTCTAATGTTTTATTATGATAAGCGTTTCATTGAGTATTACATGTTTATCAGTTTTCGAGTTAGATCGCAATTCATCAGTCCGCTTTTGAGCCAAACGGACTATAAGCACCGTTGATCGCGGAGAGTCTTTGGATGGTTGACCGTGTTTGGCAGCTTGACTCCTGAGAGTTTGTAGGATTTCAGTCCTGCCCAACAACGATCGACACAGGATAAATATGGTCCCACGTTAGGCAAGTTAAGTTTGTTCAAAATTGCCTCTGTTCACCCAGCAGAAAATGGGTACCCGATGAGATAAGTCATGTGACTATTAACCTTCTAGTGTCCCCACAGGGAGTTTGGGTTATTCGGGGAAATAATAATCAGATTCTGATTACAGCAACTGGTCAGATGAATACGAGGCGCTATATAAATGAATTATTATTATTATTAAAATATTGTTTCTGATTTATATACTCAATCATATCATAAAATTCAGTTTACTGGGATTCAAGTATTAAGTCTCATATGCTCACGTTGTGCAACAGGCGTTATGTTCTATTTCCCTCGCTGGGTTAATCGGCACAGAAGGTGAGGGGAGAAGAGCTGAACACTGCTGGGACACGCTGCTCAGGGTCACATTAGGAAATGACGTCACTGGGGTTGAAGGACGATCAAGCTTCTCGAAAGCTGTCTGTTCCTCCGGATACCGGAAGTAGCCAGGGAAACGTTCTCTTAAAGTTGGTTCCTTGATGGCTCGTAATTGTGTTCTAGGAGGAAATAATATAGTGATTCATCACATGGGATCTTAGCGGACTGGCTTGTGAATATACAAAAAACCTATACAACAAATAATCGGATTTGACAAAAAATACAAAGTTATCAAAACGTCAGTTTATTTTGATATTTAATGTACAGCTATGTCACAGCTATATAAAAAGAGTCTTGACTAGACAGTCGTGGAACTCGTATTGTGAGCTACTATCCAAACCATTAAGGTATGACGACACATCTCATACGCCCAGGTGAGGTGAGGTGAAATTGGGTTTTACGTCGTGCTTGAGAATATTTGGCTCATATGACGACGTGCATGCGTCTGTATGGGTATGTGCGGCTACTTGTACTAGCCCAGACTTAAGCTGGTTTTATAGTGCTAGCCCACTGAGATACCATGCCGCAGTGAAGCATGAATACCCCACTCAGACACATTATACTGACTCCGAGCCGACCAGTCCTTGTTGTACCCATTAATGCCGAGCGCCAGGCAGGGACCAACAAGTAGCATATTTTAACGTCTTTTGGTATGACGCGGTCGGGGATCGAACCCGTGACCTTCCGCTCTCCGGGCGGACGCTCTAACCACTACACCACGGAGGTGGTCTCCCAGCACAGGGTACTGTGGATGAGTCCGTATTAAGACACCGCCGCCATATAGCTGGAATATTGCTGAGTGCGGCGTAAACTCAACTCACTCACCCGTATTGAGACAGGGGCGAAAATTGTACCAGTACAATAGCAAAAATCAATTTACGATATGGAAGACGTCTCTTGTGGTTCATCACAATTTTGACATTAGTGAGTGAGTTTGGTTTTACGCCGCTTTTAGCAATATTCCAGCAATAATACGGCGAAATCACCAGGAATGGGCTTCACACATTATACCTCTTGTGGGGAATCGAGCCCGGGTTTTAGTCGTGACGAGCTAATGCTTGAACCACTAGGCTACCCCACCGCCTCCATTTTGACATTAACCGCTGACAGACTACAAACAGCACTTATGAGGATATAACACTTATGGTTGTGTGTCGATGTGGAGTGGGTATATGATTTCGAAGGATGTAAACTGAGGCATGACTCCAGGCCCTACAACAGACACTCAAATCAAATGAGGTCACCCATCTGAACTCCTTTTCACCCACAATGTTAGTTTTCTCAGACAAATGCCTCACAAAATGAGGTATTAAGAACATGTACTTTGCTCCACAACTGCTCATAGCAGAAACACGAGTTATTTTCGGTAGGGATGAAACACTCAGATACAGATGCAGTATGACACATGCGGATTAACTGGTGTAGTTCACAACGCAAACGGGGGGCGGTGGGGTTAAAGCGTTCGCTCGTCACGCCGAAGACCCGGGTTCGATTCCCCACATGGGAACAGTGTGTGAAGCAAATTTCTGGCGTCCCCGCCGTGATATTGCTGGAATATTGCTAAAAACGGCGTAAAACAAAAAACTCACTCACTCACAACGCAAACGTTTTACTCGTGCATAGCTTTCTGTAGAAGTTTGTACAAGACTGAACGAAAATGTCATTAAAAGGAAATTAGAAGCATACGGTGACAATGACTACAACAGGTCAAACCGTCACTGATTATTTGTCATACATTTGTCACTCATTCTTAGTGGGTAAATCGCAACATCGCAACAGGACGTCTTGAGTGAGTGAGTGGTTATGGTTTTACACCTGTCTTAGCAATAATGCAGCAATATCACAGCAGGGGACACAAGAAATGAGCTTCACACATTGTTCCCATGCGGGGAATCGAACACAGGGCCTTCAGCATGACGAGCGAACGCTGTACCCAATAGGCTACCCCACCGCACCAGGACGTCTTGTAGATGGAGATCCCTGCCCCCAATTTTACGTCATTCTAACTACACCTGAACCATATATCTCGTTTCATGTTTCCATGAAGTAGATTCACCAAACTAATGAGCCACACGACCCCAAGGCGGACGTACGTGTCTCGTGACGGGACAATCATTATTGTCGTTATGCCATCAAAATTGTAAACCAAACGTCACTGTGTTGCAAGACTATTCGATGCGTATTGATACGTACAAATATCGCGCACAATTGTATTGTTGCGTCGTCAGCAGTGGCTAACGCCGTCGGTTCCAAATGAATTCCCATGCTTCAAATACTCAATAACACCCGGAAATCTGCCAAGACATGATGTTTATCTCCTAAATATCACCATGCTAATTTTCATCCTTGCATATATCAATCAACTTAAACTAAATCTATCAATTTACTTGAAGACAGTAACAATTGTTTCAAAGTTGGCCTAAACGTTTAATTTTTTAAGAGTGTACTTCTCCGAGATTTCATTATAGTATCGTTGACTATGAAAGCTACACATCAATGAACACATCAGTCATGTATTTAATACGTTAGGTACTTACGTGGCGGAGCGGTGTACGACCACGGACGTCAGTGCTATGACGATGAGGAGTAAAACAACAGAGAGGAGTACCTGGAACATAGGACACGCTTGGTTAGACATTGAAAAAACTGGGATGAAGTCAATCCAGCCAGAGTCCATGTAGGTAGCAATTCTACTGTAAGTCCAAATGGTCCCAAGTATGTTGATCTACCTTCAGTGATCTATAGCCCGTGTTTATATTGTACTGTTGTCTCTAGTGATTTATTTTTATGATAGCGTACTAGTTTTAAATTAAGAGCTATGATAATCTAGTATGTTTACTCTCCTTCGATGACAGGTTTTTACGTTCTAAATTTATTGATTTGAATTTTGATACCTAAACTGTTCTCGTCAGGATATGACTGCAATATTGCCGATGTGACACTTAATATTAACTCACTCACTGAAAAAAGTAGGGAATTTACCCTGCAATTGTTTTGAAACTTTAAGGACTGGACGCACGGATCGAAAATGGAAGCCGGACGTAATTTACGGCTTTGGGCCTATTTAGTTGGGGTGAGTGAGGGATATGACATGGGTTGTAAGGTATATAAGGGAATTTGAACGGGAATTATTTTGGGATGAGGGCAGGACAACATGAGTGAGTGAGTTTAGTTTTACGCCGCACTCAGCAATATTCCAGCTATATGGAGGCAGTTTGTATATAATCGAGTCTGGATAAGACAATCAAGTGATCAACAGAATGATCTACACAATTAGGACACAATGACATGTGTCAACCAAGTCAGCGAGCCTGACCACCCGATCCCGTTAGTGGACTCTTACGACAGGCATTGGTTACTGTAGATCAATTATAATCCAGATCCTCACGGGTGACGGGACAAGGGTGGGTTATCGATGTATTAGAGGGAAGGTTTTTTTTCCTAAAATCAGCCATATGTCCTTGTATATAGTCAATGAGAGGACTTGCTAAAATCAGCCATATGTCCTTGTATATGTCAATGAGAGGACTTACTAAAATCCATTGTCTGTTTGCTGGGCTCATTTTCTTTTCCTCCACTTGCATTTGTTCCATTCCTGAAAAGAATTGTTTCCTGTATTGAAGGTCATCTACTGCATCACATGTCTGTGTGTGTGTCAGAGTGCATGTGTGTGTGCATGTCTGTATATATGTGTGTCTGCGTGTGTGTCTACGAGTGTGCGTGTTGTGAGTGTGTGTTGTGAGTGTGTGCGTCCAAATGTGTATGTGTGTATAGAGTGTTAATATGTATGTATGTATGTATGTATGTATGTATGTATGTATGTGTGTGTGTGTGTATGTATGTATGAATGTGTGTGTATGTATGTATGTGTGTGTGTATGTGTATGTATGTATGTATGTATGTATGTATGTATGTGTATGTATGTATGTATGTATGTATGTATGTATGTATGTATGTATGAATGTGTGTATGTATGTATGTATGTATGTATGTATGTATGTATGTATGTATGTATGTATGTATGTATGTATGTATGTATGTATGTATGTATGTATGTATGTATGTGTGTATGTATGTATGTATGTATGTGTGTATGTATGTATGTATGTATGTATGTGTATGTATGTATGTATGTGTGTGTGTATGTATGTATGTATATGTGTGTATGTATGTATGTATGTATGTATGTATGTATGTATGTATGTATGTGTGTGTATGTATGTATGTATGTATGTATGTATGTATGTATGTATGTATGTATGTATGTATGTGTGTGTGTATGTATGTGTGTATGTATGTGTATGTATGTATGTATGTATGTATGTATGCGTTTGCGTCAATCACCATCCGATCAATCTCCCGTTACGACATTACTACCATACTACCTTTTTATCCCTCTCTTATTTATCTACTAGATGTTGTAAATTTTGATCTGTTTGAAGACGAGATGTTGCTAACACTCCATGGTAAATAAAGACTCTCTCTTCCCTCTCTCTCTCTCTCCTCCCTCTCTCTCTCTCTCATGTCTAGTGATGTTATCAACTGTTAGTTCTCCTAACATCCCTAAAGTCATACGATGTAATTTTTTAAAATTCAATGCTTTGTATGACAGATTATTTTGCGTCCGTAGGCTTTGCAATAGACATGGGGTTCACAATGCCAGAAATCCGTCAATTAGAAATGTAAGTATCAATCAATCTTGTATGTTTTGTGACAAAGCCTTAGGCCCACGTACAATACAAAATAACACATTGATATGTATAAAGAACACAATGACAATGCTACCTAGAAGAAATTAGAACAATTTGTTGTTGTTGAAAAATTGGTACATGATAATGTGTTAAAAAATATTGCCGATCAAAGTAATATAGCAATGCTTTAAAATACTTGAGCGCAAATCATGACAAACTTTACATTCAAATAGAAAAGGAAAGTCATTTTCTACAGAGTTATCATTACATATATTACAAAGTCGTTGGTGCCATCAAATCTACCGGTATTTATATATATTGGAAGTGCACCGATTCGTAACACTGTTACTCCACGCCTTGCATCTTCTTGCAGATTTCAATAAAGTTAAATATTTTTCAATGCAAAATATATTTTTGATACTTGAATAATGACATAGTATTGTTTTATACCGCTTTTAGCAATATTCCAGCGATATCACCACAGGGGACACCAGAAATGTACTTCACACATTGTATCCATTTGGGGCATCGAACCCGGGTCTTCGGTGTGACGAGCGAACGCTTTAACCACCAGGCTACCCAACAACCGATACTTGAATAAATATCAGGCGATGAACATTTGTGCATTTATATCAATGTAAGTACACAGCTATTGACGGAAGTCTTTGAATATCTACTCTTGTGTTTGATGGAAAATCACAATGTACAAGTTGTATGGGTAGACATAGGGACAATACCTTGTATCCACTGGTGAGACCAGGCTATCCACAGCGATAGGTTGTACAATGTAGAACCATCAATCCACACAACAATGTATGCAACACAAACCCGCTCTGTGCGGTGGCCGTGTGTGAGTCAGACTAAAGACACGTTTGAGTGAGAATGTGACGCTTATTATACTCACTAAACCCGGATACAGCCAGGATATAAACCCTATATTCGCCCTCTACCTGGGAAACACCCACACACATGTACGAACGAAAAACATTAACCCGATGCCCAGAACGACCCGGATAGTCATAAGAATTCCTTTCCTTTTGTCTGCGATTCTAAATGGAAGGCGTATGTTTTTTCAAAGACTCCCCGACCGTGTTGTAATATCAATGCTTCAATCCCTCAAAGAAATGCCGGATATTTTAAAGGTGACACCCAGACCCATCAACACCACCAACACCTACATACCCACCAACACGAAACCCGTGAAGGTCCGGGATAGAATATTGATCTTCAGTAACCCATGCTTGTCGGAAGAGGCGTCTAACGGGATCGGGTGGGCAGGCTCGCTGACTTGGTTGACACATGGCATCGGTTCCAAATTGCGCAGCTCGATGCTCATGCTGTTGATCACTTGATTGGACCAGACTCGATTATTTACAGACCGCCGCCATATAGCTGGACTATTGCTGAGTGCGGCGTAAAACTAAACTCACTCACTCACTCACCAACAACAACACACACCCACACATTGTTCAGCTAGACAATCAACTATAACAGAATCGCGTGTTGTATACTCATTGTGATATATTGAATCACATCTATGACGTCATTCTGCTGTTTATACGATTCAATATTTTTCACGAATTGTTTTTTGGTTACTAAGAATGCATGTCTACATTATTCTGAAACCGGATTTAGGTAGAATAAGGACACCCATTGACCTTTAGGAAAAGGACATAAAAATGAGAAAGAAGTTCTCACTTCAATGGTTGTTTGTGTACTCACTACAACATTAGGTTCAAGCCAATTACTTCTTTAACCCTACCCGTGAAGATCCGGATTAGGGTTGGTCTTCAGTGACACATGCTTGTTGTAAGGGGCAACTAACGGGACCAGCTGGTCAGGCTCGCTGACTTGGTTGACACAAGCCATCGTGTCCCATATGAGTAGATTGATTTTCATACTATTGATCACTGGATTGTCTGGTCCAGCTACTCCACTAGCTAGCCAGCTACCTCACTACACAGCCAGCCACTCCAGTAGTTACTTTAAACTATTTGATTGTCAAATTCAGCCTATTCTTTTTTCTTTTGTATGGATCCGAGATTTGGGGATTCCAGAGATATGAATGCATAGAAAAATACATCTGATGGCCTGTAAGAAATTTTAAATGTAGGACCCCTACACCGAATTGTATGGTGTACGGTGAATGTGGGAGGTATCCCTGTATATAAATGCTCATATTCGATGTATAAAATTCTGGTTTAAGATATTGTGTATGCAAGAAAATAGATTACCCAAAAAGGCTTATAACATGCTTGTTCATTTGGACAACATTGGTAAAGTGACTTATGTAAGAAAACTTCTGTTTTCACATGGTTATGGTTTTGTATGGTTAAGTCAGTCAGTTGGTGATCCAAGTTTGTTTTTAACTCAGTTTCGAGAAAGAAGTCTTAATATGTTTAATCAAGAATGGTATTCAGTAATACATAATAGTTCACGGTACGACTCTTATAGAATATACAAATCACTACTCCAGCCGGAGAAATATCTGTCGTTTCTAACATCAAAGGAATTAAGATATCCATTTATACGTTTTAGGTTAGGTTTGATCAACATAATGGTAAACGAAGGAAGACGTTTTTTATATTGAACGATGCAAGAGAATGTGCCCACTGTGTAATATAGATGTGGAAAATGAAATCCATTTTTACTTGTATGTCCTTTGCATAAAGATTTGCGTACGAAATATATAGCTGAATATTATCTATGTAAGCCACCTACATTAGCATTTAAACTACTTCTTTCATCAACTGACCAGCATGTAATAATCAAGCTGTCGTACTATATCAATTATGCTCTTATTAAACGTAACAATCTGATAAAAAGTTATGTAGGTCCATCGTATTTCACTACTTGTACGTGATTTACTGCCTGTATCATGATTTGCTGTTTGGATCACTAAGTACTACTTATTGCACCATATGTATAATGTTTATGTATAACTCCAATGTATATGGGCCGGAGGCCTTTTGTACAATAAACATCTTTGACTTGACTTTGACTACCTGGCCAGCTACTCCATCACTCTGCCAGCTACTCCACTACCTAACCAGTTATTCCACTGCCCAGCCAGCTACTCAACTACCTAGCCAGCTACTCAACTACCCAGCCCACTACTCCACTACCTCACCAGTTATTCCATTACCCCACCAGCGGCACCACTATATACATGTAGCCAGCTACTCCCCCACTCTGCCACCTACTCAACCACTCTGCCATCTACTCCACTACCCAGTCCGCTACCCCACTACCCCGCAAGGTACTCCACTACCTAACCAGTTATTCCACTACCCAGCCAGCTACTACACTACCCCGCCATCTACTCCACCACTCTGTTAACTACTCCACTACCCTGCCTGCTACTCCACTAGCCCTCCAGCTACTCCACTACCCCTCCAGCTACTCCACTACCTACATGTAGCCAGCTACTTCACCACTCTACCACCTACTCCACCCCTCTGTTAACTACTCCACTACCCTGCCCGCTACTCCACTACCCCGCCAGCTACTCCACTACCTACATGTAGCCAGCTACTCCCCAACTCTGCCAGCTACTCAACCACTCTGCCAGCTACTCCACTACCCAGTCCGCTACCCCACTACCCCGCAAGGTACTCCACTACCTAACCAGTTATTCCACTACCCAGCCAGGTACTACACTTCCCCGCCAGCTACTCCACTACCTACATGTAGCCAGCTGCTCCACCACTGCCACCTACCCACCACTCTGTTAACTGCTCCACTACCCTGCCCGCTGCTCCACTGCCCCGCCAGCTGCTCCACTACATACATGTACCCAGCTACTCCCCCACTCTGCCACCTACTCAACCACTCTGCCAGCTACTCCACTACCCATCCAGCTACTCCACTACCCAGCCAGGTACTTCACTTCCCCGCCAGCTACTCCACTACCTACATGTAGCCAGCTACTCCCCCTCTCTGCCACTTACTCCACCACTCTGTTATCTACTCCACTATCCCGCCTGCTACTCCACTACCTAACCAGTTATTCCACTACCCAGCCAGGAAATACACTTCCCCGCCAGCGACTCCACTACCTACATGTAGCCAGCTACTCCACCACTCTGCCACCTACTCCACCACTCTGTTATCTACTCCACTATCCCGCCTGCTACTCCACTACCTAACCAATTATTCCACTACCAATCCAGCTACTCCGCCACCCTGCAAGGTGCTCCGCTACCCAGCCAGCTACACAACTACCCCCGCAAGTTGTCCTATTACCATTCCACTAAAATGAGGATAAGATTTTGTGTAGTCATGCTATCGACCACTAGCTTGCATACTCGATTATTTACAGGTCTCCATTGTATAGCTGAGATATTCTTTAACTTCTTTGGCAACAGTCAAACGAAATGTATGCAAACTATCTGCCTGTACATGTTCACGTAATATCTAAACCAATATCGAATAAATCCTGTAATGTATTTAAACACAACAAAGTTATGAGAACAACTCTCGTTCGTGGAATTAGCCCCAGGGCCATGACTAACTACACCTCCCCAGGACCCCCGACCTCATGTCAAGTACGAGTCTCGGGTCATTTCCCCAGGATAGACTGTCGTTCATGCACTATACATGGCAGTCACGCTGTGTTGAAAGAGCTACAGCAATGTATCATGAACTGTCATTCTGTTAAAGTGAGGAGGTGTGCTAATTTGACAACCAACGTGTACCACGTGATACTTTAGGAATGTTGCTGGAGCTGTTTTCTGCTCACTCACCGAGTTATTCGACATCCGGGTTCAACATTTTCTTCCTATCTGGAGCGTGAGGGAAACATATTTTCTTGACTGGAATAAAGCGGACAAATATTAAACGCCTTTTATACAGACAGCACAAAATGTGCAGATATATAACACAGGATAGAAATAACGTGACATACAAAGCGCGACAGTTGGAAAACGTTGGAACATTAGTGGTGAGGTGAGGTGATATGGGGTTTAACGTCGTGTTTGAGAATATTTCGCTCATATGACGACGTGCATGCGTGTGTATGTGTATGGGTGGCTGCTTGTACTAGCCCAGACTTAAACTGGTTTTATAGTGCTAGCCCACTGAGATACCATGTGGCAGTGAAGCATGAATACCCCACTCAGACACATTATACTGACTCCGAGCCGACCAGTCCTTGTTGTACCCATTAATGCCGAGCGCCAGACAGGGACCAACAAGTAGCATATTTTAACGTCTTTTGGTATGACGCGGTCGGGGATCGAACCCGCGACCTTCTGCTCTCCGGGCGGACGCTCTAACCACTACACAACGGAGGCGGTCGGAACAATAGTAGGTAATACAGTAACATGCGGCTTTCCTGTCAAAAGGTGAGCCTTTGTAAATGATTAAACTAATGTTAATACGAGGTCTACTGATGTACTTGGACACGTCACAACTCAGGTGTACTTGGTAATGTCACAACTCATGTGTACTGGGTCACGTCACAACTCAGGTGTACTTGGTAATGTCACAACTCATGTGTACTTGGACACGTCACAACTCAGGTGTACTTGGTAATGTCACAACTCATGTGTACTGGGTCACGTCACAACTCAGGTGTACTTGGTAATGTCACAACTCATGTGTACTTGGACACGTCACAACTCAGGTCTACTTGGTAACGTCACAACTTAGGTGTACAAGGTCACGTCACAACTCAGATGTACTCGGCTACGTCACAACCGATGTGTACTGGGTCACGTCACAACACAGGTGTACTAGGTCACGTCACAACTCAGGTGTACAAGGTCACGTCACAATCCAGGTGTACAAGGTCACGTCACAACTCAGGTGGACTTGGTAACGTTACAACTCAGGTCTACTTTGT